TGCTTCTACTGGCTCACTACATTGCTGCGTTTCATCATAAGGTGGATAATAACATTATGTCCAAGGTAGACTTGCTGGTACCTGTGCGTGTGCCTTGGGGTGATGAGGGTGCAGTGGCGCCGCGCCGTAGGCCGCGGCTTTTACACAAACCCGTCACTCGCACGGTACACGCTTCGAACGCGCCTACCGTTCGCGCAATACGCCTGATCGGAGACTTGCTCACTCAATACGACCATATCGATTTATTTGCTGATAGCTTTGCTTTTATTTATAGAGAATTTTGTAAATTTTTAGAATATTAATTTAATTTTTAATTTTATTTTTGATTTAATTTTTTATTTTTGATTTAACCTAATTTTTATTGACTTTGTATTTTTGACTTGTAAGCGTGTTGGCTATTTAGCTGTAAGTTTACAATGTAAAATAAATAAATAAATTAGGTATTGCGTTCCGGTTTGGAACGCAGCAATCTAAGAGTGCTGGTGAAATTACAGACACATGGGACTTGTCAACTTATGTATCAGGGTGACGGGCGCAGTACCAGTGACTCTAAGATGTTTGCGATTTACAGCTCTGAGTGGCACTGCAACTGTCAAGGATATGCGTGTTGATTACCACCAAGCGCACGTCTTGTTTGCCCCGTCAATAAGGGTAATAAAAAAACGCTTTTTGTTATCTTTATTGTCTGGAAAACGTACGTAAGCATTTTTTTTATGAGACCAAACGATGAGATGAACAATACATGAATATGGTCGTAAGTGACACGCCTACCCATAACAATTGCAGTGCCACTCAGAGCTTTAAATCACAAAGATCTGAGAGGCACCCTGAGACATGAGTTTCAAGTACAGTGACGTGACGTAACGTGAGTTTTTTCCACCGACCCCTATCACTTTTTTCACGATTAGTCGCCTGGATACAGTCCTGCTCCTAGCTTGTACATGATCACGTCACCTAATAAAGAACAGCATCTGCTATGATAGTAGAAACCAACTCTTTGCCACTTACAATAAGGATTTTCAAACTCAGAAGTGTATTTAGTTTATTACTTTTATTTATATACTTAGGTTTCTTTTTTTAAATATTGTTTGCGTGGTGCAGGTGCCTCTCGTAAATAATGTTTTTTCATGTCTCTGCTTCCGCGATATCTTTTAATAAAAACCTGACTTTTGTTTATCAGAGGTGTGTCGTTTATTTAAAAATATTAAAACTATAACCAGTTAAGTAAATTAGTATGAATATCGGCCAGATATAAGCAAACAGGTAAAATTCCTCATTGTAAATTGACATTTACACGTCATAATATTTAAATAGGGTCTGCTGTGTAGACAGTAAATGGAAATTAACTAGAAATAAAATGGCATGTTTAAATCTGCATTCCAATTAACAATTAATTATTGTATGCGGAAGATATTATTTGATTAAAAATTAAAAATACAGTTATAATTATTAAACGTGACCATTATAACTACGTAATTACTTACTAAGAAAAAACGTCGTAAAACTTAGTAAGAAAATACGTCGTCTTGCAACACACAAACTTGCAAAAAAATCTCTGCTACATCCAGTCTAGGCATGGATGGAATTACGTTCCATTTATACGTCTATTTTTTACAATAATTACTAGTTTTCTATTTCAACACATGATCACATTGATTAAATTTATCGATTACTTAGAAAATATTTGAAAACATTCGAACATTTGACATAACATTACAACACGTCAGAACTACCAACAGAGAGACACGGCTATTTTCACATTTACAATATTTGTATGTACCTATATATCTGCACAACTACTCTTATTATTTGAAGTGAATTCGTATAAAATTCAACATAATACTATAAAACTAATTAATATCGACATTAAGGGTCGTATTCTAGAACTCTACTCAATGCTCAAGTCATTATTTGAGTATGGTTTTAAGCACTCGAAATCATACTCAAGTCCCTGCCATTGGGGTCGTATTTCCAGTGTGGGAAATCATACTCAGATCCTGACTTGAGCATTGCGTAGAATTCTGGAATACGACCCTTAGACTACTCCATCCACTCTTGTGTTCAAGTAGTTTTCACTAGAAGCTAAATATAGTGCATTTCGTTATTGCCAGTAAAAGCTGAATATGGATAATTTTTGGGCCTTTAAATTGTGGCAAACAAAATTAAGCAATACTGCAATGACATTACAATGCTCAATTGCATTTCAGTACACCTGTTTGCTTATAGTACTCCCCCCCCACCACCGCCCTTCAAAAAGTGGCAGAAACTTATGTTCGAAAGATAACGCTAACAGTGTTTCCCGTCCTATATGCTCTTCGGTTTCTATTAATTATTTGTCAGTCTTAATTATTAAAATCTTTAAAAGATAATGACAACACAAAGCAGGAAGGACTACATTTAATTTTGAATTTAAAAATAAAACAGAAAAAATTATAATGCCAAGCACTGGGTCGTTATCGCGGCACTTCGTTACTTCAACCTTATTTTGGACCTTTCGATAGGCATCACAAAAATACAGGCTGTTTTTTTCTCATTTGGTTGATTCGATTCCTAGGTGAGGCAACTTTTTAAAAATCTTTGAATGCAGTATTACTTACTTTTAAAAAGAAAATTATGTCTCCATAAAGCGAAATATCCTATCTACAATATGCAAAGTTATTCCCTCCGTGTCGCATTACTGTTGGACACCCTGTATAGTCACCATATTATTTTATCGATGCGGAGTCGAGTTGAACCGTGGTTCAAAAGCCAAGTATTAAGTGCAAAAAACGTCGGATATCTGTATTATCCATCACCACAGCAAGATACGATTTCACAAGATTTTAGCAGATTTGTCGCAAACAAATCACGTTTCTCACAATTCATTTTGGATCAATTTATTTATACTAATTAATTCGGTATACATTTATTTGCCAGATACAGTAATGAATAATGATAAAGGTCTTAAGTAAAATTACCTATATTGTATTCAACCTCCAAGCAGATGTGTAAATATTACATATAACCTAATAAGACATTATGTCACAGTACACGTTCTTGAGCAAGGAATTTTCTTATTTTGAATTTTGTTTTATGAACGAAAAAGTCGTGCGCCTGGTGGCAAATCGCAAAGATCTAAGGGGCACTACCACTGTATCCGTCACCCTGAGACACAAGTTGACAAGTCTAATGTACCGTTCAAAACCGGAACTCAGTAATACGCACATTACTTACTGTTTGCCGGCAGAAATAGGTACAGTGGCAGTACCTCTCTCGATGAACTGTTCTAATAGGAGCTCTACTGCGACTTTTGTTAAAAATAATAGGTTCTACACTTCGAACGCATCGATCATTTTAACGAATATTATACTATTGGCAGGTGTACGACCATTATAATATCATGGTATAAAAATTAGTTCTTGAGACACTAAATAATAATAACGCATACACTCAACATAGTCCCGCACTAGGAATACCCTGTGTCGCGGGTGCCATAGACACACACATAGACAACCACAAGTTACACCCTAACTCACGAGAGAAATACATGTAGGCCATACAAATATTTCTCCCGGCTAAGGAATCGAAGGAATCGGTCACGGAGGCAGTTAAAATCATGCTTAAAAGCTGAGCAAATATAAAAAAATTGGATTGATTCGTCTAAGAAAGAAACTTTGAACCTGCTACGCAATGGTGAGAGTAATTATAATAAATTATCATTATATAACTGAAAATTTTTAAATTCGATCGAAAATTGTTAAAACCAACCATAAAAAACATGCGCTATTTTGAACCGAGAAAAAAAAAATATTTCCAATTTGGAGAACTCGATACAACTTAAACAGTTCACAAAAAGTTAACTTAGAAATAATCGATATAATAAAATAAAAAAACTTTTTATTCCTTACATTACTTTTAATGTCTACTTTAGCATTTAAATAATATATTGTTACGTTACATTTTATTGATACTTAGGCATAATGAGTTCGTAATAAGGTTATTGAAGAGATCAGATTTCTATCCCTTACTGTTTTATTTTTTTTATATTATTTCGGCACCCATTAAAATGTCAAGGGTGAAAATCTATAATTTAAAAATATTGTGAAATCTTAGGAAATAATTTTAATTTATATTTATTAATAATACTCACATTTTTTATTGACGAATTTTAATCTCTTAATACACTATGTTAATAATTTGATTTAAATGCCACTCCACTAATAATTTCCCGCCTTTTTTAGGCAGAGCGACTGAGTTCGCTAACACGGTCCGCGAGACTGCCGTGCGCCAAATATGAGCGAGATGGGAAGTAAAATCTGCCTAAGATAGAAAGAGGCAAAATTATGACAATTGCCGTTATCGAGCGGATAGGGGTGAAAAGCGTGGGGTGCAAAAGAAAAGCGGATGTCTGACCCTAGACCAGACCGATAGGTATTGCCACACTAAAAATGTTACAAAATTTTTTATCTAACTTATCGCTGTTATTATATATTCAAAATCTCAAAATGATCTTTAAAATAATTTATAGAATAATGTTAATTTGAAAATTGTAAGAAGAAAACTACCATTCACTAAGGTAAATGCTTAATTAAATGAATAGGATAATGCGTTTACTAAAATATAATTATGTTAATAGTTTTGTTAAAGTTCTGGTTTAATTCCAGATAACATAAAAACTATTAAGTTTTAAGAATGAGAATAATAATTCGAGTTTATACGGCTTGGAAGCCCAAGAGCCGGCAGCTACCTTGCCCAACCTCAACGCATTACCATAGCCATACAAAAGGGGAACGCTGCCAGCATCTTGGGCACCTTGTCGTGGAAACCCTTTCTACAATTTCAACTTTACATACCTTACCTTACCTTAGAAAGTAAAATAGATTGACGTTCATGCGATAATTTTCATGGTACCGCTGTCAGCTGATTGGCTTACGTCAATGTCAAAAGTTGTTGACATTTTGAGAAGAGAGATAATAAAATTTCATAAATTTAAAGCATTTTGTTTAATTACTGAAATAAATATGAGTGGTTTCGGTAGAATTTTGGTGTTATATGGCAGTCAGACGTTCACGGCGCAAGAAATTGCAGAAAGAATATGGCGTACGACGAAAGCATTAGGTTTTCGGGGACCCGTTCAGGCCATGGATGATTATCCGATTTCGAAACTGATTCATGAGGAATTTGCTATATTTGTGTGCGCTACGACGGGGCAGGGGGATGAGCCTGATAATATGAAAAACTTCTGGAAGTTTCTTTTGAGAAAAAATTTGCCCGCGACTTCTTTAGTGAAGCTAAAGTTTGGTGTAGTAGGGTTAGGTGATTCTTCCTATTCGAAATTCAATTTTGTGGGAAAGAGACTTCATAAGAGGCTGATGCAGCTGGGAGCTACACCATTGATTGATGTTGGTGAGTAGAATAAAAATTGTCAATTGGCAATAAATCTATTACTATTGTATATCTTGAAAGTGGTAAAAGACAAGATGTATTCTTTAAAGTGATTCTGGGCAAGTGAACAAGGTGCTTTATGCCTCTTTTACCCCACCACAGCCAATTGAAAAAGCAGTTACAATTTCACATTAATTTTTATTCGCAAATAATTTCTACAGGTCTTTGTGACTACCAACATGATCTTGGCCACGATGCAGTCTTAATACCATGGACTAAAGATTACTTCTCTAAATTAACATTATACTACCCGGACATTGGAATAGAAAATTCTAAAAATAAGTTCATTCCTCGATGGAAAGTAACTCTGATAACAGCAAACCCTATGGAAGGAAACAGGCTTATTGACGATATATATTTTGGAAAGGGGTTGCATGATGGCTTTGTAGATCCATTGCTATTACAAGTAGAAAAAAATGTTAGAACCACAAGTGAAGATCATTTTCAGGTATTATTATGTTTCTTTGGTTACGTTTAATTAGGTAATATTTTGATTTATCTGGCTTGATTTTATTACATACTTTCTTAACTTTTGTTTTTCTAATGGGGCTGACATGTTCAATAATGATCAAAGGCCTTAAATAAATAAAAAGTAAAAAAATATATGCATATTACTAATAATAATAATACCTAAAGGCATTATGGATCCAAATTCCCTTGCACAATAACATTAAAACAAGTTGCATTTATAATTATAATCATTTATTATTGTCAAGAATACTTCAGAATTCCCTATTGCAAAAACAGAAATCATAATATCACGTGGTGACTAAAATAATAAAGAAAAAGCTTAAAATTTATCTTGGGTTCAAATCTTGACTTAACTAAAACCTAAGAGAAAACCTAAGAATTCAATATTTACTACAATACTTCCATACAGACTTGTAAAGCAGTTATTTATTTATTTATTTATTTATAGCCTTTACCGCTGATAACTTACTAACTTATCGAACACATTGTATGACATGCATAGTTATTATATTTTACTTATTTATTATTACTCAATTTGTTTACTCGGTACCTTCAGCTTGTCCCAAGACATAGGCCTCTTCCAGAGATTTCCATTTCTCCGTATCTTTTGCTGTTTGCCTCCATGCTCCTCCAAAAACATATTTAAAATTGTCTTCCCAGCTGAAGAATGGTCTCTCTTTCTTCCTTTTTCCCTCTCTTGGGTACCATTCCAAAGTATCCCTTGTCCATTTATCAATTTTTTCTCTCATCACGTGTCCTGCCAATGCCATTTTTGCTGTTTTATTATGTGTGTGACTTTTTTAGTCTTTGATTTCCTGTTTATTGTGGGCAGTTTTACTTTATCTTTCAATTTTATGTTGAGCACACTTCATTCCATACTATTCTGACAAATATCAAGATTTTTGTAATGTTTTTAGTGAGTAAATTATTATGGATCCTGCTAATTCCTGGCCTATTCTTATTCTGCTGCACAATACCACTTTCATACATTATCAACTACATTTTCTGCTATCAATTTATAAAGAATTGACGCATTGTGTGTGACATTCAAAAAAGGAATCCATACATTCAATAAAAAATGGCAAAGGAGACTCCTTTAACCAATTACAGATTACTTAAAACTTTTTTCTTACAGGATGTAAGGCTGATAACATTAAAATCAAATGTTTCTCCACTGCACTATAAACCAGGAGATGTGTACAACATTCGCCCGCGTAATAGTCAGGAAGACGTGAATGACTTATTCAGCATTTTTGAAGAACATCATATTGATATCAAACCATATTACAGGCTTTTGGTAGAACAGTGCCACGAAGGTAAGGTCTACTTTATACTGTAAATTGCATCAAATTCATACTACAAACGCCCGAGCATCGCTTTTCTACAGTCTTTTATGCATAGAATAGACTTTATGTTTTTTTTTTAATTATGCGTATGTATAATTTCTCAACGAAAAGTTTATGCGTTTTGATTTTGATCGTAGTCATAAAAATTAATCCGACAATAATAAATAATTACATTCTCGCATAAGTGAAATTAGTCTTATCTTTATTATTTAACTTTAATTATTTTTACTTCCATTCGTTATGTATGCATAATTTTAAGTACAATCACGATCTTCGTATCTAAAATAGTGGTGAAGGTTTATGCTTCGAACCACAGATACTAAAATTAGTAGCGTAATTTCGACGATATAGAATCGAAATCATTATTTTGTAGAATTAATCTCTATAGCAGAATAGCGATGTTTGAAAAAATTACAAAAGCGCTCTACCGCCGCGCGGCGCGCGGCAATATTTCAATAGAAATGTTGGCGCTTAAGTACTCAATGGAATAACTAAACGCACTGTCAATGTCAAATGCGATAACGCACGTGGATTCGCTCTGGACCTTTTGGAGGGAAAAGTGTCGTTTTTATTTTGACTTTCAATTATTTTGTGAAATCTAGTTTAAAGTGGAATAGGATAATGCTATTGTGCCTTAATCGAAGATTAAAACGCGAAATTATACGAATCTCGAACTAGAATACCCGTATCGGCCCGTTTTAAGGAATCCCGAGTCAATCCAAGCACGCCGCCTCAAATTGCCTATCCTCTTTGTGGCGGCCATATTTACAGAAACATAATTTACAAAGTGAAACCAAAATGAAGAAAAGAAAATGAAGAATAGGCTGTATGGCATTATGCCAAAGCCGTTAAAACTGTACTTAAAAAAAAAAAGATAACGCACATGTTCTGTCAAATTCGTGTTTAGTGATGTTTTACAGTTGTTTGCATTTATAATTCATGTAAAAGTCGGGAAGACATAAGCTTCTAATAAATGTTTGATTAAGAACAAAAATGCTTCGGCGACAGGCGCGTTTGCGCCGCGAGTACTTGTACAGAAAGTCGGCAGAAGACAAACAAAAAAATATTCAAGCTAAAAAAGATCAATTGAAACGAAGTTTGGAAGAAAACATCCCTATTCATGGCGATTTGCGTAAAGAAGCTCTAGCTTTACAGAAAAGAATAGAATTTGAAGACAAAGGTAAGCTATTTTGACGATGAGATACCAATATTGTTTAAAAAATATAACCTAAAACTGTATAAACTTTTCAATATTCCCATTCAATTTATTGACTGTTATAACAAATAATAATATCTGTTAGATTATTTCATTATGTTTACTATGGCTGGCTTATTGACAATGTCAAAACAAAGTGTTTTATTCCGTCACCACCACGCATTCAACCACCCCTAGTATCCAATGGGGTAAGAGGAGACCATGGCACTCGACTCGCTACGCTCTTGACTAACTTTCGCCTCCACTTGCGTCAGTCTCATAATATAAATAAAACTTCATACTCTTCCTAAAGTTCCAATTAACATTCTATACTAGTAATAATAATTCATTTATTTGTGAAAACAGGTTTAACCGCCTCTGTGACCGAACGGGTGCCACGCCGGACTGCGACATAGAGGTCCAGGGTTCGATTCCCGGGCCAGGAGAAATATTTGTTTTGTCTTACATTTGTTTCTCTTGTGAGTTTGGGTGTAATTTGTCTATGTTTGTGTCCATGGCACTACAGGTTTTTCCTAGTGTGAGGCTATGAGTGTGTGCATTATTGTTATATAGATGGTGACATGTACAAAAACAAGTATAGTTTCACAGTGTCCAGCCAGACATTAGACATACAAGTATTGAAGGTGTTTTACTTTCACTCACAATGGTGGGGGAAATGCTGTAATTGACATTTAATTCATTCTTTCTGTTGTTTTATTAGTACTTCTTTATTATCACCTAACTTTACTTTCCAGGACCAGAACGTGCAGCAGTAATAGGAGGTTTTAGTGGTGGAGCAAACACTCTCAGTTCTCAGGATGATGAGTACAGATATGCAGGGGTTGAAGATCCGAAAATTATGATCACTACTTCTCGGGATCCTAGTGCACGATTGAAGATGTTTGTTAAGGAACTTAGGTAAGAAAAAGAAACATTTATTTTCACAGCAGCAGATTATTTGCTAATAAAATAAAAAATAACAATAAATAAAAAATGTTCATTAAACATTTTTGTACAGTATTCAAATGTTATCTGCAGCATTAATTATCTTTTTCAAATGCTAATGACAATCTCGTCGTCCAATTACACACGTTCTTTTAAATTTTTTAATATTTCTTGGTTTCTAGGTTAATATTCCCAAACAGCCAGCGAATGAATCGTGGTGGATACGAAATGTCACAGCTGATACATGCATGCCGTGCCAATGATGTCACAGATTTTATTATTGTACATGAACATCGTGGTGTGCCTGATAGCCTGGTGAGTGTCAGAGCCTTCTTCCTGTCTTTGTAAAGTCAGCATTGGCATGATATGAACAATTGAAAAATTTCAGCTATATAAAAAAACTTTATCTTAGAAAGTAATTAAAAATAGCATGTTGTATTCATATAGTTAATTTGTGCTAATAATTTGAATGTTTAATAGTATAATATGACTGTAATCTGATATTGAGGACTTTGTTTATTTAACAGGTTATCTGCCACCTCCCTTATGGTCCAACTGCATCGTTCACCCTGTCAGGTGTAGTGATGCGACACGATATACCTGATATAGGACCAATGAGCGAGCAGTACCCGCATTTGATTTTTCACAACTTCAAAAGCTATTTAGGTGAGGCTTTTTAGCAGACACTTTAGACCGATTTATTTGAATTTATTTGAAAATTATAGCTAACAGTATTAAGATTATCAATCAATTCAAGTTCAAAAGGGTGAAATTAAATGTGGGCAACACATTTTGCTAATACACCGATTTTTTTTTTTTTTTTGTGTTATTATTTGATTGGCAATCGGCCGCCAGGCCATAAGCGAATCTTTTGAATGAGAGAAGATGTTTTTGGTGGAGCGGCCAGTGCCACACCTCCGAACTATAGAACATGGCCTCGCTTAAGCCGTTTGACCATAGTTGATGGCTCTAGAATTTCTACGATGAGTGGGTTCGGGTGGCAGGATAGTCGTTCTTTGTACTTGGTTTTATGTCGGTCGATCTCAGCAGCTACCGATATCACGTTTAGAGGATACGCCATTTACAGAACCATCTGTGGGTAAGATCTAGTTGGAGTTGGAGATTTGTGCTAGCCTTAACTGGATTCCCGTCAAAGGACAAAAGGGCTATATCAGCGGCGTATGTAGCAACTGTGATGTTATCTGATATTGGTAAGTCCGATGTAAAGATGTTATACAGAACCGGGCCGAGGACTGAGCCCTGTGGTACGCCTCCCAGAATATTGCACATGTTTGATCTCGCTTCTCTGTGTTTAACTTGGAAGGAACGACCCGACAGGTAGGACTCTATGAGAAGAAACATCGAGTGTAGAAGTCTGTCTTTAACCTTGGCCAACAATCCCTTGTGCCACACCCGATCGAAGGCTTGCTGCACATCGAGGAAGGCCGCAGAATAATATTTTTTGTATTCAATGCTCTGTCGGATTGTGTAGTATAACCCTATGAACCTGCTCAATAGTTGAGTGAGACTTACGGAATCCAAACTGGTGAGTTGGCACAACACAGCAGTCATCCATAAGCGGTTTGAGTCTGGCGAGGATTATGCTTTCCCAGAGCTTAGACATCACAGGCGTTAGACTTATGGGCCGGTATGAGGAAGCCTCTTGTTCTTGTCTAGAGCTGTCGCCAAGTCAGACTCTTCATCGGTCACTTTATCATTCGGTTTAAATACTTCAGCTAGGTGCTTAGCAAATACTTCCACCTTTTCTGTATTTGTTCTCGCCCATGTTCCCGTTTCCGTTCTGATAGGAGGGTGCTGTTGTTGGGGTCTATTTAAGCCTTTACTTGCCTTCCAAAGTGAGTGCTCACCATGTCCAGCAGACGCCATCATATGCAAGTTAGTGTTAACTACAGAGCTGATTGATGCATTGATGATACTTTTCAGCTCTTTGCATGCCTTATTGTATCTATATTTGCCTAGAGAATGACGCGACTGATGCCAGACTCGTCTTAGACGGCGCTTTTCCAGGATCGTTGCACGAATATTTGATGGTAGGGTGGGAATGCGTGGAGTTGAATCCTGTTCCGGTGTGTTAGCCCTACCTGCTACTTGGATAAGGTTCGCGATTGTATGCATGCTCCATCTATCTCATCGGAGTCCTAAAGGGGATTGGTAGTTTTATATTTTGATTTATGTAGCTTCTAAAACCATCCCAATCAGTTGTATGGTTTACAAGTGATTCTGCCTTTTCATGAGTAATCACACTCGTATTCACTGTCAGAATCACTGGTGTATGATCTGATCTGACCTGTATGATCCATCCAAGCTCGATTCGATTTTCGTATTCACATGAGCCACACCCTGACTCAGGAAGAAGTCCAGAAGGTCGGACAGCTTTCTAGGGTCACTTGGCCAATATGTTGGTTCTCCAGTCGATAAAGATAACACACCAATTGGCCTTAAAAAATAGTTTGTTTCAGCGGGATAGATATATGGTGGTCTCAGTGACACATGCTGTACAGACCTTGAACAAGCTACACTAATAACAATGATAAACAAATATTTTTTCCAGGTCTCCGAACTATGAGTATTCTGAAGTATCTATTCCCTGTACCAAAGGAAGACTCGAAGCGTGTGATCACATTTGCTAACAACGACGATTATATTTGCTTTAGGCAACATACTTATAAAAAGGTGATATACTGTTCATAATTTTAAATTAAACAATTTTAAATTTAATATAGAAAAAAGATGAAATTAACTAATCCCATTTTTTCAGGCTGGCAAGGACATAGAGCTAACAGAAATAGGTCCACGGTTTCAAATGAAGCTTTACGAAATAAAGCTCGGAACACTCGAGGCGTTAGACGCAGCGGATACAGAATGGGCGCTGCGCCCGTATATGAACACGAGCGCAAAGCGTCGATTCTTAAGCGATGATGATGGATGGAT